ACTTAAAAGTATCATTTGAAGAACTAATGGACCCGCTGTAGGTTCATGTTTATTTCACGTTTTTTATGACAAAAATAATATTTAAAAACATGTCCATACAAATGATTAAAGTTTTAGATTTACAACCGCTAAAAAAATGTAATTTTTATATCGCCATATTTTTATTTAAAACGTATTCTTTTCTCTCGCTTCGTCCTCCATTACTAGCTTAAAAAAATCTCTGGTTGGGCCGCAATGCATTATGGGATATGCTGGGCCGGGAAGGATCCATCGGACCTGTCCTTCGATTTGAGGAAAAAGAAGGACGTATTTGTCGGCCGCATCGGAGGAGTCTTCGGTTTTGGACGTCCTTCGTCGTGGCGCTGTGACGTATGCAGACGATGTATTCGACCTTCGGAGGACCCGTCCTGTCGTTTTGGACACAGTCCATGTTTGCTGTGAGCTGTTGTCCTGTTTGGTGTTTCTGCTCCTCCATGACGTCACAGAGGCTAACAGTGATGGGCGGGGCTCTAGTCATATTTAAGTCTATGGCTGACCCACACTGAGTCATGAGAGCCGGAACAGCTGGGTCTGCAGTGGGTAAAGGATTAATAAWGCAGGTTTAAGAAAGCCTGACTTCACTTAAACTAATCTCTTGTCCTCTGGCTCGGAGCCAGGTTTCACCATCCAGTGAAAGGAATGCAGATAAACAACAGGTGTGATTTATTATCACCTGCAGTCAGCAGCAAACATTCCAGCTGCTTACAACACCTGGATTAAATCCACAGACTCGGACCACACCCTTCATCCACACACAGCCCTGCCTTCTGGGTCAAACTGTCCCTGTGAGGACAGGACCTCCCGAAACAACCTGTCAATCTGCCTGAACCTACCTGCCACCCCCCCCCCCCCACACACACACACACACACACACACACACCNCACACACACACACACACACACACACACCTGAGTGAGTCAGCTGTTCTCATCAGACTCAGGACAGGACAGAGACATGTCTCCCTGACTGTCCCACACGGATGGACAGCAAATAAAACCAGCAAAACTCACAAAGATAAACCGCTTTAAGCTACTGGAATCGTAGAAACGTGCTGAATGAGACAAGTATTACGTCATCATTAAGTTATATTTATGAAGGTGTATAACCCTTGACTTAATTATCATGTCTGTGACTTTCAACAGGAAATTAAAACTTTAATTATGTGCTTAATACAGGCAGAAGAAGCCGTTAACCGGAGGTTTTCCCCGGTAGCTTAGCTAGAAGCGGCGTGATAAATGGATGAAATGTGGAGGCTAACAAGCTAACGTTAGCCGTGCGGCTAAAGCTACGGAAAACCCGTGACAGCGGGTTATAATCCTCTGAATTACGGCTCTGTTCGCTCACCGCGCCGGTCTACCTGCTCCCTTACCTGAGGAGAAGCACAGCTCACCGAGGGAAAGTCTCCAAAAAGCAGCCGCGGACCTCCACTTACTGCTCCTCTGCGGGTTTGTCACTCAGTCCAACCCAAGGGCGGTGACACCGGAAGAGACAGGCGAGGCGCTCTCTGAGTGACGTCACGCTCAGCCAATAGTAAGAGAGGGTTCCTGGTCTGGACCAATGGGGTGGTTTTACCCGCCCTGTGGCTCATTTATGTTTTTTATGACTGTATTATGACATTTATTAACAAAATTAGTTTTGATGCACACACTTACATGTGTAATAAAGCACCTTTATGTCCTTTAGTAGAACAGGAACCTTATTGTCCTTAAAAAGTAACACTGTCCCCTCAGGGAAATGTTTTTTCTCTCAGGGAGTGCACACATGACAAAACAAAATAAAACCACACGATGCTCAGAGGAACACACTCAAACGCTTTATTTTTCAGGTAAACATTTCACTCAATCAGACGATATTTAAAAAAGAATAAACAACATTAATAACCTCCCTCGAAAACTCATAAATTCAGGACAAAGACCCCAAACTGCAGATTTCATCTGTGTTCAGAGATTTCATTAAAACTGCAGTCACTACAAGCATTTACTAACAGGAGCATGAAGTGTTTGGCTGTGCAGGTCTGCTGAGCAGAAAAAGTTATTAAAGTTATTAAAGGTTTGAAACAAATAAAAATAAACAACACATTTTGAATATAGGTAGAGCTTATGTTCCTTTTTTAATACTTAAAATAGTTTTTAAAAGTTTGCATTTGTTTTGACATTAGAATCTCCTGAGCTGAGTCATTATTTGTGCAGTGATAAGTTAATCTAAAAGTGTGCTGATCTGCACGAAAAACACCTTTAGACTCTGACTCTGAGAAAAACYGAGAGTAAAACCAAAAACATGAAGAACTCATCTGAAATTAATATTTTCAAAGATTTATTAGTTTACATTTTCAGATTTGTTTATTGTTAATGTGAAATAATTTGACCAGGACTCTGTTTAGACTCTTTAATAGTTTCTGTTTCACCTCATGTTGACAGACATAATGTTTGCTGAAAGAGTAAAACATAAAGTTTTAAATGTTGTTTTTACTTTTGTCAGTCAGTCCCTCTTAATATATTATATTAGATGTTGTAATCATGAACTTTATGCTGAAAACTCTTTGCCAAAGCTATTTTTTACTGTTGTAAAGGCGTGGTAACAGAGACAGTCCATTCATTTGGTGTAAAACTGTAACGGGACGAGAGCAGAAACTATAAAATAAATACAAATAATATATTATAGAGTAAAATTAGAAATTATGAAACTAATAAAAAAACAGTTGGTAATATCAACATTTTAAAGAAAGTCTGGTCAGTAACACCGGAGTTCCACAGGGAACTGTCCTCTCTCCGTTCCTCCACAATACACCACCTGCTTCTTCTTCTTCAGAGGTTTTCTGACGACTCAGCAGTAGCTGGATGTATCAGCGGCGGTGATGAGGACGAGTACAGAGGGACGGTGAAGGTATTTGTCTCCTGCTGCGAGCAGAACCACCTGCAGCTCAATGTGGCCACGACAAAAGAACCGGTGCTGGACCAGAGGAGGAACCTGTGACCCTGTGTCCATCAGAGGGGTCAGCGCAGACACGGTGGAGGACACAGGTTTGTAGTAACTAATTACATTTACTTTGTTGCAGAACTTAAGTAGTTTTTAGGATTTGTAATTTTACAATGTATTTTTTTAAATTGTGACTTTTACTTTTACTTAGTTACTTTTAAAACCTAAAAAGGATACTTTTACTTCTTTTCTTTAAAGTTTAACACCTAGTTGTTATAAATTAAATCTGTCTGAACTCATCATGAAAGGAGATGTTTATGTGCTCTAAAACATTAAGTGTTGAATTTATTCAAATAAATCATATCAACTATTTCCACTAAACCTATAGAGCAGAGGAGCCCAAAGTAGGGCCCGTGGGCCAAATTTGGCCCGTCAAGCCATTTGATTTGGCCCACCAGCAGTTGACAAAGTTACAAGKTTGTAACCTGTTATCCTATAGAAACGCAGTGTTTCCATTGGTCATAGGACTTTATAAAAGGGCTGTCAGTGAAGGTAGTTTTCATTCATGGTGCTGACTTTATCTTTGATTTATTAGGATTAAACATGAAACATGAAATGACAAGAAATATTTAGAGCAGATTTAACCCCACATGTAGATTTGCACACTTTATAAGGCCACAAAAACTCATATTTTATCAATTTATGAAATGTCCCATGAGCCTTTGCTACTCGAGCGTATGGCAGACTTTCTCCAAGAGCCCTGACAAAAACAAAAGAGGGCCATTGCATAGCTTAATCGTTAAAAATAAAGGACTTTACTTTAAAAAGTATTTGTATTTCATGTATTACATTACTGCATTTGGCCCACAGCCCTGGATAGATTTTCATTTTGGCCCTCTCAGGGAAAATGTTTGGGYACCCCTGCTATGGAGTAAATCTGAGGCCATTGATGTATTTTATTTTAAAGAAATTGACCAATTTAATCAACTTGGTTCTGTGGAGCCAGTTTGGTTCAATAAATTTATCAGTTTATTTGTTAGAGAGTGTGGAAAAGTACTTTTACTTCTACTTTTGCAACTTTTGGGAACAATTTTATGACTTTTACTTAAGCAGTTTTCTCATCAGTGACAAGTATTTTTTACCAAAGTCATTTTCTGTTAATGTAATTTTACTTTTACTTAGTTATTTCTTTCAAGTACTTTACAGAGCTCTGGTGGAGGATTATAAATATCTGGGGCTGCACATTGACAGTAAACTGGACTGAGTCAAAAACACAGAGGTCGTCTGCAGAAAGGCCCAAAGTCTTCTCTACTTTCTGAGACGTCTGAGGTCCTTCAGCATCTCCTGGATGATGCTCAGGATCTTCCATGAGTCTGTGGTGGTGAGTGGCCTCCTCCACACTCTGTGGCATGCTGGGCCAGCAGACTGAGGCAGACACCAGCAGACTGAAGAAACTGGTAAAGCTGGGGCTGTTGTGGGAGTGGAGCTGGACTCTGACTGCAGTGTCTGAGAGGAGGATGCTGACAAAGCTGCAGGGAATCATGGACAACAGTTATCAACCTCTCTACGACACTGTTAGGAGTCACAGAAGCACAAAGACTCATTAAATGCACCACAGAGCTCCACAGGACGTCTTCCTACCAGTGGCCATCAAACTCTATAACTCCTCCCTAAACATGTGAAACTAGATCAGCTGCACATTACATTAATACATCTGTACATTTTAATAGTTTTTGTCTTCATTTTTTATTTAATTTACTGTATTTTACCCATGACACTTATCAAACACGTGTAATATACCAAACATTATCTCTGTACACATTTTCCTAATATTGTTTTTATTGTACAWTGATTATGTGTACATAAGTGTGCTTATTTTGTACTCCAGGATGTTAATACTTATTTTATTCTAGTGTGTTTATTTCTTTCTTTTCACACTTCTCTGTTCTGAACGGTTGCAGCTGTAATATCTGTAATTTCTCTCTGGGATCAATAAAGTATTCTGATTTTAAACATCAGCAGTTTCTCTTTTCCTTTGTCAGAGGGCRGGATGTAGAAATACAGCATTTAAATGTCAAATTAATCAACATATTAATTTCAAACACGTTGTTTTCATCATGTTGTGTAAAAATGGTTTTTAAAATGTAGCRGTTTAAAGGCTGGATCTTACTTTAATTTTTATTTACGTTCTGCATTTGTTTGTTTTTTTGTTTGTTTGTTTTTTGTTGTTGTTTTTCTCATCAACACTATTGTCATTCTGGGGAAATTTTTCATCCTTAAAGCTAAATATCTTAAGGTTAAAACAAATTTCTATCATTTTCACAATGACTTTATTTTGTACTGCAATTCTCTTAAAGTGATGCACACTAAACATGCCCACAATCTGTGCTCTTTAATTGAAGAGTATGATTTAACATCTAAACCCTGGCCTTTTTTGTTCCTTCTTATTTTTAAACTTCTTATCTTTATTTGCAGCCATTATTTTTCTCTTATATGCAAGTTCGTTTGTTTGAAATACGCCTTATTGTTTGTACATTGTATTATTTTGTGTGTTCTTTGTTGTTTAATAAAAAATAAAAAATAAAAAAAGAAGTTCTGCATGGTTTTTAACATCTTGTACTGCCCCCTGCTGGTCTTTCTGCAACAACCCAATGTCAACCCGGAAGTAAAACAGCGGCGTCACTTCCTGTGGATTGCGGCTCCCAACAAAGATGGCGGACATGGACGAGCTGTTCGGGAGTGATGGAGACAGCGACAATGACCAAAGAGGTGATTTAATGTTTSTCAGATTGTTGGGATTTTAAACAAAGTGTCTCTTTTATGTTTCCAAAGTTTAAATGTATTAAAATAAAAACAGAAATGCGACAAATGGTCGGTAAAAGTGAAACTTCAGTGTTTGATCTCTGTCTGTGTGCATGGATTCATAATGTTTTAATTATTAATAAAGGGACTTTTCTTTAAAAAGCTCCAAACAACAAATATACTGATGTTAGTTATAACTTTAAGGTGATTTTAATCCGGATGTGAAATGATAATAAAAATAAGTTTGAGCTCCAAGTTTCGTTTAACCAACAAAGATTAAAATAAAACGAGGACAAATTTTCACAATCCTGCTGTTTTTAGGCCAAATTAGGAATAAAATACACTTTTTTCATACTTCTAGTAACATATATTTACAGAATTAGACTAAAACATTTCTGCATTTGTTTATCATTTAAAGAAACTGAAAGTTTTTACTCAAAAATCAGCTTTAAACAAAAACCAGAAGATCACTGTAGAGTTGCTGAAATTAATACCCTTTTTGTAAAATAATTTTTATTTAAATAAATTGATGTTTTATTTTATTCCAGCCTGGGAAATTACTTTTGCGCAGCGATAATCAAMAGCAGAATTTCTTTGTAAAAACCCAGAAGAGTCAGTCCAGACTCCATCTATCAAACTGGTTTCTGCTGGTCTCCCTACAGAGTCTGGTTCTGGTTCGGGTTCTGACTCGGAGCCGGGGAGGCCTCGATCGGCGAGCAACGCCTCAGGCAGCGAGAGCGAGAGGGAGCACAACGATGAGGAGGACGATGAAGGACAAGAGGCGGGGAAGCCCAGCATGAATAAGGTTGGAGTCCAGTTAGTTTCAGGTCAGAGACTGGGTTTACCTGCTGAGACAGGAACCAGGGAGCAGGAAGTGAGTTCATGTTTACATTAGTTCATCTGTTCATTAATTCTGCTTCAGTGGCCTGTACGCCACAGACGTCTGATCTGAGCACTTCCAGTCTTTAGCCACGTATCGGTCTTCTGGTTCACAGGCAACACAGTGTTAGCAAAGATTTTTTCACCCGACAACGATTCTTAATGACCTCCACAGTACAGAATTACATATTACATGAACCAACACTAACACAGGAGACGTACAGGTCCAGCCAAGTGAGAAAAACAATCACTCCAAAGTGGATTAAAGACATAAAAACAAAGGAAAGACGTTCGTGTTTATGGTTCCAGGATTTAGCCTTTTTCACTATTCCTCAGCTGCTTGTTCTGTGAATTGTTTTGGAAAGAGCAGAGTCTGGGCTTTAAATCGATGGGCTCCTTGTATGGTTTGGATCGTTTTCCCCGACATTGTGAACTGAAAACATAATGATTATCAGGCGGAGGTTCTGCTGCTCTCCGTAACGGGTCGGGTTTTTCCGGCCCGGGACACAAAATATTTTCAGTGCGCTCCAATCCWGCCTCCATTCTTCACCAAAACTAAATACAAACCAAAACCAAAACCGCCTGATTATATATGGGATTCAGCCCATTCCTGTCCAAATCACAGATGTCTGTTCTTATTGGATTAGTATCACAGGAACTCAGAGGTCAGTGAAATATAGCAGGTAATTTGCGGGGGAATTTTTGCTTTACAAATTACTGACATGTCTGATTCACACGGGATTAACAACAGAGTCAATCTGTAATTATTACAGGTAGCATGTGGCCCCGAGGTAAAACTAATCCTGTCTGAACAGGGCTTTAGTCAGCCAGAGTGTGTAAATTATAAATGATGCTTGTTAAATGACGTCTCTGACTTGTCTCCGACTAGTCTCCGACTCGTCTCTGACTGGTCTCTGACTGGTCTCTGATTCGTCTCTGACTCGTCTCCGACTCGTCTTTGACTCGTCTCTGACTCGTCTCTGACTCATCTCTGACTCGTCTCTGACTCGTCTCTGACTCGTCTCTGATTCGTCTCTGACTCGTCTCTGATTCGTCTCTGACTTGTCTCTGACTCGTCTCCGACTCTTCTCTGACTGGTCTCTGATTTGTCTCTGACTCGTCTCCGACTCTTCTCTGACTGGTCTCTGATTTGTCTCTGACTCGTCTCCGACTTGTCTCTGACTCGTCTCTGACTCGTCTCTGGCTCGTCTCCGACTCGTCTCTGACTCGTCTCTGATTCGTCTCTGATTGGTCTCTGACTTGTCTGACTCATCTCTGACTCGTCTCTGATTCATCTCTGACTCGTCTCTGATTTGTCTCTGACTCATCTCTGACTCGTCTCCGACTCATCTCCGACTGGTCTCTGACTCGTCTCTGACTGGTCTCTGACTCGTCTCCGACTCGTCTCTGACT